TTTCCTATTTGGCATAACAGCTTCCAGTAACATCATACAGCTGACAGAACCCTGCAAACCTTGCAAGCTGCCACTTAACCATAAAGTGATTGCTATTGTGTGTCTCCACAGCACTTACATTTATTTGGAGCACTTAATCACTACATTTCAAGTGGTCATCAAGACAGCTAGTATTACCTTTCATAGACAAACATATTTAAATCAAAGTACCCAATATCACATATCTTAATTTACACTTTCTAAGTCTGAAGCTTGATAAATACAACACCAAGCCCAGCAGGCAACATACAGTCAATATCTTGGCTTTTCGGGCTGTGACCGAAATTGACACAAGCCTACAACATTAGTTCTAACTCACACACCTTATACATAAACTGGTATTCACAAAGGGTAGTTTGTTGCATAATGCAAAGATATTTTTACATAAATTTTTGGATCAAGTATTTGCAGGTAGAGACACAATAAATACCCCATGAACTATGTTTTAGAGCTTAATACATACAAGACAGCAGTCTTCCAAACCTCACTGAACATGCAAGTAGGCTAGAAATTAAATACTATGGAAAAGATGACAGGACTTTGAATCACTTCAGACATACGCTAGTTATTATAATGGAGAATGTTACTTACTGGACAACACCAGATTTTGTCCCATTCCACAACTTCTACTGAATGTTTTTAAGATTTAGCAATGGGATTACTGTAATGATGATTATGACAATTATGTTTATGTTTCAAGATTCAGCAATGAGAAGAATAGACAAGGCTTAAGTTTTCTTTCACTATTTTTGACAGAGGAAGAAAGGAGAAAGAACAACTATTTCAAGAAGTCATGGATGCAATAAAGTAATATTTTAAAAGCTCACTCTTGGAAGTTACTGACCAATTCTAATTATCTGGGAGACAACAGTTGGTTTTTACCTACTTAAAAATTCTTATCTCTAAGATCCATATTAGAGTATTTACTTTAAACAGAAGAAAAAACTCAATTTGACAAGAAACATGCATTATAAACAATTCAAGGCAGAAAACAGTCCAGTTCAAGACAATTCAAGCTGAGCTGCAACTAAAGCAACATATACAACGTTACATTTACACCAAATTTTCAATACACTTTTTTTTTAACTTACCAACTCTGTACTAGCCCAACTGAAGGCCTGTTAAGTAAGTTATCGGGCAACAAATTGACTTCTCTCATGGTGTTAGCTAGTCGCACAGGAAGTTCTTTCCGCAGAAACATGTACGAAGTCTTCTCACATGCATTGTCACGACCTGCCAGAAGGAAGAAAAAAAAAAAAACACAGATGTCCACTGCAGCAGATCAAATTTTAGACTTCCCAGTGCTAGAAGATGAAAAAAAAAATCACTTATGGAAATAAAAACAGTTTAAAACCACTTTCAGTATCCACCTTCACTTTCCTCTCAGTCCCAAGACACATACTTTTACCTTCCTAGAGGTTAAACCCTTTTATCTGACATTCTTCCTCATTTCACATCATCTCATCCTCTCTCCTATAAATACAAGTGCTACAAATAAAAGTCTCTTATCTTATAAATAAAAATAATCAACTACCAAAGACTTCAAATTAGCTGTAAGAAAGATCCCAAAACACTAGCTTTTATCAGTATGACTTTTCTAATAAAGCAAGCTTTTAAAAAGTGCCTGCTGCCCACATAACAGAGAGTAAGCAGTGAAAACAAAGGGACAAAACAGAATGGAAACAGTTGGCTGATGTTAGTGTTGCAACCCCTTCAAACCCACTAAGTACTTAAACATTTCAGCAGCACCTGGAAAGACTGAAAGTCACCATCCCTCCTAGGACTAGACTACAAGATGCTCACTAGCCACCTGGAAGGAAAGCGCAGTGCTCATTACCCCATTCCCATTTGGAAAAGCTGCAGCTGAGATTATCTTGGACTTTCACTTTTAAAACAGATTTGTATTGAGCACAACATTTTGAAAATAAAATAAACAGCCCTGAGAAAGCAAATAGAAGGGACCCAGTAAAATAACAATACTTTGCTGCAGACCTAGTTAGAACAGTGGTAATTCTCTGCAGCCACTCTATGTGAACCAGAAGACTAACATGACTGATAGAATTCTTAAGCTAAACCACTTACTGGAGACACCTCTAAAACTTAACTACAAATATTTGAGAGTATGAATGAGACAGGATTCTTGCCCACATAGTTCAGATGGAAGATCAGACCTGACTTGACATACTTTTTTTGTATTGTGCAGCCTTTTACAACTGGGGGAACTAATTTATAAAGACTCCATGTAAATTAAAAGAAAAAAAAATATGTTTTACTTGAAAGCAGAAAAATGACTGTTCATTACATCTAGAAAAATAGTAAATGTCTTTTTGTGATGATAACCAGTACAACTACCCGCAAATTTTGTGAGTGAAGGCATAATACAAAAAAAATCTATAAATTACGTTCAAGCAAACCAGAAAGTGTTAAAAGCACTGCTAGGCACATCATCAACCAAGATTTGCAATTTGAAAGACTCAAGTACAATGCAACCAGCACAATCAAGGTGATACTTTTTAAGAAAGTCCCATTATAATCAGCTGAACTGCAGAGTTTTCACCTTCTTTGCATTGGTATCATGCATTGATGGATTAGTTCTCAAACCATAACACAAGCTTGGGGGAATAGGCAGGAAGGATTAGGGTTTCCCTTTTTCTTGCTCATTTAGGTAACATTAATCAGCAGATCATTAAATTCTATTTGTGTCGGCAATTCTACTGTTTTTCTTCTAGCAAACATTTGCACCTATTTTACCTATTTGCATTTTCACATCTTCAATTACAAATACATACATCCTGTCAAAATTAGACAAAAGAAATGAGACATGACATTGTTGCTTCCTGTGAAGCACATTAATGACTTCAGAGTTCAACCCTTCAGTGGAAGTTAGAGATCAACTCACCTACAGAGCCACTTATTTGTTCACAAGTCATTGTACATAGCAGGTCTTTCACAAGACTGTGGCTGGACAGCAGGAAAGACTGACTAGCTCACCCTACAACTTCCAGGCTGGAAAAATCCCCAGAAAAAAAGTTGATGAGCACTTCTTCCCAAGAGTGACTGAGGGCAAGTTTAGTTGTTTTCTATGCAAGAAAAAGCAAAAGGAAAGAAAGCGCAGACAGAGAATGAGGAAATGGTGAACAAGAACCCACAGCCTGCAGAAGTCTGCGAAAGGGCATGACAGTCCTTCAGGGACACAGTCCCTGTGTTTGTGCAAGGCAGACAACAAAAGCTGCTAGACTGGAAAGCAGGACTGGCAGAACAGACCCCCTTTCTCTCCTCCCATGAGGAAGGGTGCATCTCTTGAATCCATCTCACCCCAGCAGCTACATTTCAGTTACAGAGCCCTTTGGAGTCCCTTCACATGCTCACTTCAGGAAAAGGAAAGGAAGTTCTGTTTCAAGCCTGCCTAAGCTGAAGGCTTGCTTCACCATAACTTCAGTACATCTTTTTGGTTTGGAGCTTTGTGCCATGGGTTTTCTGGTAGTGGAGGAGGGGCTACAGTGATAACTCCTGTAAGTAACTGCTCAAAGTTCCCCTGGCTCCAAGGTTTTGGTAGCAGGGGAAGAGAGTACAGAGACGACCCCTGTGAGAAACTGCTGGAAGCTTCCCCAGCTCCAAGCCAGACCCGCCTCTGGCCAAGGCAGAGCCAGTCAGCGCCTCTGCCAGTAACACATTTAAAACAAGGCACAGTGCATGGAGTGGGGCACAGCCCCAGGCAGGGACTGCCCGGT